CACGAGCCGCCACGGCCCCAACCTCGCAGCGGGAGCTGGCGCAGGCGCGATAGTCGCTAAACGTCGCAAACCCGCGGGGAGGCGCGGGAGCGAAAACTACAAGTCCCAGCAGCCAGTGGCCCCCCCCCTCCCTGCACGTCCCGGCTCGGCTGCCGAATGGGACGACGGGAGTTAGAGTCTCGCCTGCGTTGACGACCGGATTCCCCGCCCCCGCCACGTGTTTTTCGGATGTTACTGGACGCGCATGTTTTTCACGGCTAAGTTTGTTTGCTTCCAGGAGTTATTTCCTGAGTTTTGATTAGTTGTAAACCGCATAGTTGAAAAAGAACTCTTTTACTTTGGTTGGTCGAAAAAGATCTGGTGAGGTATATCTGGCTTTTTTCAACTATAGTTTTCCTATTTTTGCCTTTACTCTAACCACCACCACCCCCCCCCCCCCCCCCTTGGCTTTTTTCCACTCACTTGCCCCTCCCGGCCGCACACTGAGTATTTTTCTCATTGGCTTGGGACAGAAGGGGGGGGTGCTTTCTTAGGCCAGAAATCCAATTCCACTATTTCCAAGTCATTTAGACATCTGTAAACGTGAGCTCTTCATTTGCAAAGAATTCTTCTATTACGAAGAGACGCAGATTGTTTTCTTCGGCTGTTAAGGTGTCAGTGGCAATGACTTCCTATTCCACCTTTAGAAGTTCTCGAAATTAAATCTTATTCTTGTATAATAAAACTGTCAGCAGACTAAATTAGATGAGCTGAAACAGCCCTGCCCGCCCTGTCATCTGCTTTGGTTTTGATCAAAGTATCTTTACTGTCCTCCAGTGACAGCTGTAGTTTCCATCATTACCAGGAGCAGAAGTGGCCACCAACAGGAGCTTTGTCCCTCGAATATCAAATTTCGTGAGTCAGTTTCATCTTGGCTCTTCTGCAGCAAATTTGTGTGCAAGGTGCTACTTTGACATGTTGATCTGCCCCTTGAGTTACATCCTCCCCATGTTTTTCTGGAAACAGTTGCCAGTAATTACAGAGCTTGTGGTCCTTCATGGCACAGTAGTAATTCATACCTGGTGAGCTGGTTTTGTGAGAGAAACTGTTGCCTAATCAGAACTTTAAAGATAGTGTAGTGCGCTGAATTTCACCTTCTCGGCCTTTGGTGTACACAACCCACCATCTGCAGAACCCAGAGAAGCCCTTTGAAGGGTCATCAAACACATGTGCACAGATCATACATATAAAGATTTTTAATGTGCACAATGTGTACATATATTAACTGCATTGCCTTTGAGTCACTTTTTTTGCTATCTTTTTTATTCATAGCCTACTTTGTAAGACATGGTCTGCATTTTCTTGGTTTTTCCTTTAGTTTTAAGGTTGACTCTCAGAAAGTAAAAACATTCGAAATATAGAAACTTTTATCAACTGACTTTTTATTATCCTCCTAAAGTATTATTTCTTTAAAATTTTCAAAGAACATCTTTTGTTTTCAATGTTACTACTGGAACATTGACTAACTTACAAAACACAAGTTATAACTTCAGTAGTGGTATTTACATTTAAGAATTTGTATCTTGGGACCCAGCAGATGGGATAATGGTTACATCACTGGACTCCCATGTAATGGACTGCAGTTCGAGTACCAGACCTGGTGACTTAAAACTCCTGCCAGGAGAGTGTGCATTCCCAAAATCCCAAGGAGAATAGAGGAGAAGGGACCGCATTGTGGACATCTCCCCTGGGGGATGATTTCTCACTTTCTGTCTCTCTTGTCTCTGTTTCCAGTGAGCACACATGCCCTATAGCAAAAATCTCTCCCCCCTCAAAAAAAAGAATTTGTATCCTAAAGGTCCGTGGTCATGAGTTGTAAATAATGTGTGTGTGGACATTCTGGAAACTTAACTTTCTAGTCACGTATTGTAGTGTGCTTTAGTTATATCAATCAATGCAGATTTAAGGTAAATAGTTTTATAAGGTAAGGAGATCTATATGGGTTTTTGTGCATAATATCATTACATTGGTAAATGTAAAGATTAGTGTTCCAAAATAGAGCATATATGCATCAGATTTACTAAAACCACACCATGCATTTAAGAGGGATGCCAAACACAAGAATATGGGGCTCCAGAAACAAGCAGCCCAGATGCACACTGGACCCAACCATTTCCTTCCCTTTTCCTTTCTCAACAAGATTTACCTAAAAGCATATTATTCTGTTCAGAGACATTGCTTTTCTAGTTCCGTTGTGAACCCGTAAAAACTGCTTTTGTTAACATCAAGGATATTGTTTCAGGAAATTTTGTTCTCTAAAATCATTGGCAGTGAGAAACTGCTGTCTGAAGTCATTTCTATTTCCAAGAGTGGAACATCTTGCTTAAAGATTCTGAACCTTATGGGTCACTTTGACAGAGAGATGCAGCCTCAATTTCCAACCTAGGTGCAGAGATTGAGATAAAGGGTTTTCAGACACAACTGTTCCACATTTATCTTAACTTGGTAGTTTCCAAGGCAACAAGACCCTGAGTCTATTTCTCAGCACTGCTGGTGATCGGACTGTGATGTTTCGAACAAAATCTAAAACAGTGTTTCTGATTGTATCCTTTTCGAGAGCTCACTACTGCTTTTTTTTTTTTACATTTGTTTTATTTATTGATTGCAAAATGTATGTAACATAAAATTTACCATTGTAACTATTTTCATGGTACAGCATGGTAGTATTGGGTACATTCACATCGTTTTCAACCATCACCCTCATTCATCTCTAGAACTCTTAGATCGTCCCAGACCTCTTACCCATGAAACAGTAATTCTTTGTCTTCACCCATCCATTACCCATTTATTACTAACTCCCTATCTTTACGTATCTATTACCCCTGACAACTACCATTCTACTACCTGTCTCTCTGGATTTTACAGCTTTGGTACCTCATATAAGTACACTCCTGCAGTATTTTGTCCTTTTGTGTCTGACTTATTTTTCATACTGTCATCAAGGTTCATCACTGCTGAAGCATATGTCCTAATTTCCTTCCTTTTAAGACTGTGTAGTACCCCACTGTATATATATATACCATATTTTGTTTCTCCATCAGTGAACACTTGGATCCCACCTTTAGCTATTGTGAATATTTACATGTTCTTTTAAAATTTTTGTATTGCTGCTGTCTTACTAGTGATTTCCGCAACCCTGCTTTGTTCTTCTCACCTCCTGAGAAAAGATTATTGTAATAATCCAGAGGTGATCCTTCTTCAGAATCATTTAACCCATCCTCCCCCCTTTTTTTGGAGAGAGAGATTTTTACCATAGGGTGCATGTGCTTACCAAAGAGAAAGTGAGAAAGCACCTCCCAGGGGAGATGGCCACACCATAATCCCTCCTCCTCTATTCTCCTCTTGGGATTTTGGACACACATGCGCACGCACCTGGTATGAGTTTCAAGCCGCCAGGTCTGGGACCTAAACCATGGTCAGCCATGTGGGAGTCCAGTGCCTTAGCCACTGTGCTACATGCTGGCCTCTCAAACTCTACTTTTTTTAAAAATAGAGATTTTTGCTATAGAGCGCATGCACTTATTGGAGAGACAGAAAGCAAAAAATCACCCTAAGGAGATAATCACACCAAAATCCCTTCTCCATTCTCCTTTCGAGATTTTGGGCATGCATGCACATGTGGCTGTCATGAGTTTCAAGCCACCAGGTCCAAGACCTAAACCATGGTCAACCACATGGGAATCCAGTGCCTTAACCACTACACCACCTACTAGCCCCACAAACACTATTTTTAAAAGTACTTTCCTAGGGAACCAGCAGTTAGCGTAATGGCTATGTCGCTGGATTCCCACGTAGTCGACCGCGGTTCGTGTCCCGGACCCGGTGGCTTAAAACTCACGCCGGGCGCGTGTGCGTGCGTGCCCAAGATCCCGAGAGGAGAATGGAGGAGAAGGGATTGTGGCGTGACCATCCCCTCTGGGGGGTGATTTCTCGCTTTCTGTCTCTATGTCTCTCTCTGTCTGTCTGGCGAGCGCACGCGCCCTACAGTGAAAATCTCTCAAAAAAAAAAAAAAGTACTTTCCTTCTTCCTCTTAGGAGAGGCCTTTGGTTCCTCATGTTTTTTGTAACAGTAAGTTCATAAACCTAATATTGTTATAATTATGTTCCTTGGGAGCTTTATCTGAAATGCTTTATTAACACTCTCTTAAACTAGACTTTATTTACAGGATACATTTATTATACTTTTTCAGGACTGTCCTAGAGCCATATTGTAGTGGTGGTAGTACCAGTTAGAAGTCATTGAAGTAATAAGAGTATCCCATACCTAGAAACTGTTCTACAGTGTATAAAGCAGGGTTTTTTTTATTTTGTTTTGTTTTGAGAGGTTTTCGCTATAGGGCACGTACGCTCACCAGACAGAGAGAGACAGAGAGACAGAAAGCAAGAAATCACCCCCAGGGGGGATGGTCATGCCACAATCCCTTCTCCTCCATTCTCCTCTTGGGATCTTGGGCACACACACACACACGTGCCCGGCGTGAGTTTTAAGCCACCGGGTCCAGGACGCGAACCGCAGTCGACTACACAGGAGTCCAGTGACATAGCCATTACACTAACTGCTGGTTCCTGTATAAAGCAGTTTTAAGGAGGCAGTAGTTACCCTGTGAATATTTACTGGTTAACAATGATTTCCAGTTTTGTGGAGCTTCATTTTGAGAAATATTGTCATCAGGGTTTGCTGCTGATAATTAATAACTGTTGTTTATTTCCCTCTAATGTTTTGGAGAGGAATAAAGGATAATAATAAATCTTTTACCTTTATCTTCTATCACTAAAAAAATTCAAGGTAAAAATAGAGGCAAAATTTGTAATTTTCAAAATGTACTTCTTCTAAATGAACACTCTAAAGATTTTTGTGAAATACAGATTTTGTTTCATTTAAATTCAGATTAACAAG